AATATTAAAAATATGAACAGTGTAGAGGTTGGCAAAATTCACACTTATGCAACATTAATGAAGATGTGTTTTAAAGAAAAACATTGATTATGAAAATAATACAAGTATAAACACACTTGTGGAATTGTGGAATCTGAGAATTGTGACAACCCGAATACAAAGATACAGGAGAGCAGCTAAAGGATACATTTTGTTGATTTTGCACTTTACACTAATATATAATTTGTTCTGAGCATGACTGTGTTAAGCAAAACTTCTTCTACTTTTCATCAGGAGAAAATTCCATGTCTTCTTCTCTTTGCTCCTTCACATCCATCTCTGGATAAAATGGTGTCTCCAGAACAGCTTTTCTTTTCATTGACGTTTCCAGGCCTTCACACAGGGAGTCGTGGATCCCCTGCCACGAATCCATCTCTGACTTCCACAGAGTAGCTCTGGACCTGATAAACAGTGAGATCTCGGTCTTGTTGCCTTTGGCCAGACTGATGCTGTCCTTACAAATGAAGAAGATATCCATGCCGAGGAAGAGAGCGTTGACTGCAATTAAACCTGCCCTGGCTGACTTGGAGAGAGCAAGAGGCCCTTTGGCGACTGCCTGACCAATATCTGGTATGTCTGCAGCCACCCTGGGCACGTTACGTAATGACTTACCTTCCTCAACCACCACCTTACCAACACCTGCAATCACTTCTTCACTTTTCAACAACTTAATAGCAGAGGAAGCATCAACTATTGCATCAATACCTTTTCCAATAGCACCAACTGTACCAAGACCCTTGCTAATGCCCAGAGCCACTTCAATGATACTCTCTTCTATTTTGGAGTCGGCTTGACTGGTCACTTTGTACAGACATTCCTGGAGACTCTGCACATCCTCCATGAAGCTCTGGAAAACCTCTCTTGCTTTCTTCTGTTGTGTAGCATTTACTCCGATCTCGGTGGCGGTGGTGACTAGGCTGTTGACGCCACTGGTGATTCCCAGACCTATCCCAGTTGCTGTCAGAGCAAGAGACAACCCTGCTGTCACAGGCATTAACGCCAAGCCAACAATGGAGAGCACACCCCCAGTTGCCCCCACCGAGCTGCCTGCCACGCTGGAGATCTTTGCCCCCATATTCATCCTGTCGAGCTGAGTAGCACTCTTCTCCAGCTCGTTGAGAAACTCCAGCATCCTGGGCTGTCGCTTGCTGAAGTCAGTGATGAAGTCAGAGCATGATTCTTCTTGAAACAAGTACACCATCCTGAAGTGCTTGTTCATCCTGATGAAGACAAAAGAGGAAATTAAGCGTAAGAATAAATAAAAATCTTTTTAGATGCTACCTTAAAGACCCCACAAACTAAACATTGTCCCATTTTAAATTACCCTGTCCTTGTGCTAAATGTTTTTGCTGATCTCTCTTTTCTCCTGGAAATCTCTCCTCTGAAATCTTTAACTTCCTGTGACTATAAATTCTTCCTGTCATCACTCAGCATGCAGGAAACTACGCTGTCTGATTTAACAGCTGAATCCACAGGTGTGGGCAAAGAGGGTGGAGAGAATAATAATAGTAATAAAAAGCTTTGTTCCTTTAGCAATACAAGGTGCTTCACAAACTGCAAACAGAAGTATGCAAATCGTATAAAAAGCAAGATCAGACTTAGCAGTGCAGTTAAACAAAAAAAGATAAAAGAATAACAACAAAACAACAAAACAATAAAAGAAAAAAGTATAGGACATAAATGAAATAAATATATTATCTCCTTTTTAAATGGATCTGACATAAAGTTTGTGCCAAACCATAACTTAAACCATAAAAACATGTGCCCTTTGTTTTAAGCCTGGTTCGTGGGATTTTAAACAGCTTTTGATTCTCTGATCAAGAGTAAAATGATAAATAACATGACCAACACACAGGCTTAACAAAATAGGGCCAAGGACAGAGCCTTGTGGGACCCCACATCACATAAATGCAAAAGACAAACTGAATGAAAAAGATAAATAAATTAAGAGGCTCCTGCGTCTGTTTAGAAGAGTTGTATGATCCACTGTAACAAAGGTTGCACTCAAGTCCAGTAAGTAGTGTGAAAGTAGCTTAAACAACACTTACCTGATCTCATCCAGCTGATTGATGTGATCAAGCATCCTCTGCATGTCGTCTCCAGGCAGATCCTCATCAAAGTTCACCACAGTTTCCATCGTGATTTCTGAGGGAAAGTCACTGAAGGAGCTGAGAAAGACAGTTACACTTACTTCCTGCACTAAATGTTTCCCACTGTGGAATGTGTCACGTTGTTCATGAAACGTCCGTTTACCTTTTTGATAACATCTCGCAGATTTTCTCTGTGGTCTGTATGTACTTGTCCAACTCATACGACAGCACTTCCACATTTGGAAGTATGGGCTGGAAGAAGACTTGTGCATCTCTTTTGAACTCGAGGAGTCGAGGGCAGATTACCCGCGCCGCAGTAATGACAACCTGAACATAATCGAAGGTGATCCCTTTGGGCAGACTTAGAGCTTGGTTCTCCGTAAACACATGGAGGGAAGTGACCGCCAGCTTCTCCACTGCCACCAGGAAGCAGTCGAGCTTCTCCAGGCCAACCAAAGTGTCCTTGAGCACAGCATCCAGCTCCTTCTGCAGCTCTGCACGCCTGCTGTCTGCGGTCATTTGGGTCACCTTGCTTTTCAAATATTCCCAAAAGGTCTTACCATTTTGGTCGATGCGGTCAGCCCTCTCTTTGATATCTTTCATCATGTTTAATTCTGTCTCCCTACCGAGCCCCCATTTAGAGACGTCCTCACAGAATCGTCTTACAGTGTTGATGTGGGTGAGAGTGTCTGTGACGTAGCGGCACAAAACCTGCTGTAGCTCCATTCTGTAATAAGACATAAAGAATCAATAACTTTGGACATTTCATTTAACTCCCTGAGCAGAAAATGTCACTGAAAGACTGAGTCTTTGTAGTCATTTACTTTTTTGTTTGGTTTCTTTCTTTTTGTGGTGACTTTTGTCTCTTTGTGTTTGTGGTCATTTTGTGTCTGTGGTTTTGTAATCATTTTATGTTTCTTTGTGGTTGTTATGTTGTCACTTTATTCTCTTGGTGATTGTTTTGTTTCACTTCTTCTTTGTTCGGTTTATTGGTGAGTGGCAAATTGCATTACTGGCATCTTTGTGGTTGTTTTTTCTTTTTGTTGTTTTGTTTTGTTTCTGTTTGTGGTCATTCCGTCTCTTTTTGCTATTTGGTATTCTGTGTCTTTACAGTTAATTGTTTTGTCACATTTTTGTTGGTTTAGTCTCTCTGTCATTGTTTTGTGTTGCTTTGTAGTTCTTAGCCTCTTTGTGTGTCAGGAATTGGGGAAAAGTAGTTTCCAAAAGCAGGAGCCAGTAAAATAACACAAAATGTCCCTTTAGCCAGTAAAATAGCACAAAATGTCCCTGGCTGAAAGCAGAAGTTGACAAGTGAAAGACGACAAACTGACAAAGACAAAGAGACTTATTTACACAAGGGAGGCAGGGATGTTGTAACAAAGGTGAAACACATGAGGATCAGGTGCAGACGGTCACAGAGGGCGCCAACAGGGCAGAGGCAGGAAATAAAACATAACACATAAGGAGCAAAATTTCCAAATAAAACAGGAAATGCAGAACTCAGAATCAACACAAATCTAAACAAACAAAGAAAAACACCACAAGGAAAAGTGTTCAACAAAATCCAAAAATTCTAGCTAAAGACTCAGAGTCATGAGTTCATGGTTGTTTTGTTTCTCTTTCCATTTTGTGTTTGACTGTGTCAGGTCATGTGTCTTGGCCTTTGTTCAAAGAAACTGTTGACATGTCTAGGTCAAGGAGCTCAATGTCAGCAGGTGTGTCAACATGTGACTTCATTCACTACACTTTACCTCAAATGGAAAAAGAGTTATCTGTTTTGATTTTAAAGATCTCAAATATGAATATTTGTTTTAAAAAAACACAAAAACTTCAAAATTTGACTCAAAAACAGCACTTGAATAAATGTACTTATAGGCTACATTTCACTTGTGGATTTCTACATTTATTTGATACAAAGAAGAAAAACAAACTCAGCATCAGTCCTTATAGTACACACAAGTATGTGTGTACTACAAGTATGTGTGTACTATAAAGATTAAAAACACTCAACTCCCAAATGTATCCAGAAAAAGTTACTTGAAATATTGTCTCTCTCATTTCTGCACTAAAGTCAAACTTTACCTTGCAGCAGACATTTCCCCTTCTGGCTTCACTTCTTTACTGGGACTTCGTCGCTTCACTAGTTGCTCTGATACAATGAAAACCTGCTGCTTGTTTCTGGACAGCACGTGAGAAGAACTAAATCCCCAATAGCTGAGATACTCTGCGGTTGTTTGGTTTCGTTTTCCTTTCTCCACATCAGCAGGATGGGCCACACCCATTCATACATTTAACTCATTCAATCCTGAAACTCAGTTTGGTTGCGAAAAATGAATGAATAAATAACTAAATAAATAAATAAGTAGGGTGAATTCAGGTCATTTGGGGCTGTGGGACACCTAAGCTCAAGTTTGTTTATTTCATGTTTAGAAAATCAAGACTTTTAGTGTAGTCAGTCATTATCAACCTAGAATTGCTCGACAAGGTCAATGACACAAAACTCTGACAAGAGATAGTTCACTGAAAATTCACTCATTATTTATTCACCACTATGCCGATGGAGGGGTGGGTGAAGTGTTTGAATCCACCTGAAATGGCTAAGCTTGCAGACGTTAGTATTTCTGACGGTGCCTGAATGCACTTCGTCTGGAAATATCAGCAGACATGTAGGCTTAAAAGTTCAGTGTGTAGAATTAAGTGACATCTAGTGGTGAAGTTTCATGTTATATACCCCTCCCTTTCCAAACATGACAGAGAACCTGTGGTAGACTTCAGTTGTCATAAAAACTCAAAAGGTGTTTAGTTTGTCCAGTCTGGACTAATGTAAAAAACATGGTGGCCTCCATAGAGAGGGTCCCCTCGATGTAAATATAAAGTGTTTAAATATAAAGGGTCTTTTCTGGGGTAAAGAAAACTACAATTTATATAATTTAGATGAAATGAAATAGTGAAAACATCATGAGAATTATTCTACATTAAATATCTGCCAATAGTTCCCTTTAACCTAAATCTTACACACTGGACCTTTAAGACCCAAAATGCTTCATTGTTGAAGAAAATCATCAAATCCCACTCCTTCCAAAACTCACTCACTAAAGTGAATTTCTGAAAAGAGCAAATGTTTTTCACCCTGGAGAGCAGAGGGCCTGTGGGTCAATGCACCCAGAGACTCCAACTAATCAGGATCAATTACTGAGGATAGAAACAAATGTTCAAAGAGCGACCATCTTTTTTTCCACTTCCTCTCCAGGGCAAGTTTACTAGAAGCTCTCGCTGAGCCAATGCTCCGGGGGGCCTCTAACAAGGCCCCGATTAGGGCTGGATTTGTAGCTTGCTGAGTTGATGTCAGATTGGCATAAAGAGTCCATGTGGGAGCAGTGTGTGTGCAGGCCTGGGACTTGATTTGCGTGGCCCTCCTCGCCTGTCAGGGATAATTGTTTAATGAGAGCAAAGGGTGTCCCAAATCCTGGCAGAGGGGGGAAACAGAGAGGTCTTTAGTCAGAGCTCAAGGTCTCTCTTCAGGGAAACGCGGTGGATCTGTACTATCTACTAGCCTACTCTCTCGAGCTTGACAAATGAAGTCCACCACAAAAAGTTTTTCAGTCATTGGATGAATATTTCTTCAGTGACCTGACCTGAATTCAGTCAGCCTAGTATCCCCCTTTTCACTTGTCTAGGATTATCTTTATACTCTGTGTATATATTTATATTTCTGACTCTTCCATGTTTCTACATGCAGCTGCTCCCACAGCAGAATTCAGCCGGACCTGACGTGTCTGAGTGTTTGACATGAGGCCCCTGAGGCCTGAGAGTAACGTGATGATGACTTTTTTCGAGAGGAAGACGTCCAACCTGCCCAGGCAGCCTCTCTCTGTCGCCCTATCATCAGGAAAAAAACAAAGCACAAAGCTTATCTTGCTCACAACGCACTGTCACAGATACAGGATTGAATATGGAAGAGTAGAAACTAAGACCAAAAGACGATTCATTGTCTCGTCCCCGAAGCTTCTTTTGATGATCCGTTGTTTCACAAGAATAAGATGTTTGTGGACGAGAAGACAAACGAGATTGAACAAAGGAGCAGCCATTGTTCAGTGAAGTGTCTGTGATTTAGACACTGATCTTTCTACCTGCTCACAGAAGTCAAAGTGTTTTTCATTTTTTACTAAACTGTCTTTTATTAGCCTTTTACAATTGTACCTTTTACCCTTCACAGTGTCTGTATTTACTTTGTCTTCTGTATCAGTCTTGTTTGTCATGATTTCAGCAATAAAATAAATAAAACTAGAATGTCACTCAGTAGAGCACATACCTCCTCAGTGCCTTGATTAGTGTTTTAATCGAGTACAATTTTGTAATTGATATTTGAGGTAGGATATATATTTTTTTTATTTATTGTTCTATTTATAGGTATTTACAATTCCACTGCATGATATACATAAACTAAATTCCTTACTTTTTCTCACAATGTTTACATGCTGCTGCAGTGTGAAGGATATTAACACAACATTTTGAATTTAAAATATACTATACCTTTGGACGCATAGTCTTTGCAAAGCTTTTCTTTCTTTTATTCTTTTAATGGTGACTGTGGATGTTGTCCATCATTTAGCCGACACTGGAGAGATTTGCTAATGTCCAGTATAAACAAGAGGAAATGATGACTTCTAAAGCTATGAGCCCTTCCTTTAAGGTGATGAACCCACTGTTTTTTTTATATTTTTATGGAAATTCGATCAGTTGTGATGAAGATGTTTGAACAACAGGGGGCGACAAACTTCAGACAGGCAGAGCAGAGGTGGAGGAAGCTGTCCTTTCAGCACCACATACAGTCTGTCTCCATAACTTCAGAGGACATCACATAGACTTACATTGACGTCCTGGAACCCTAGTGGTGACAACTTACCCAACAATAACCCTAACCCTAAAATTAAACCTAACATTAACCTAACCTGAAAATATCTTCACCTAGCCCTAACCCTCGCCTAAACCTAATTCTAACCCTAAAACCAACAGAAACCAACCACCCTCTTAGGAAAGTGTCCAAACATGTCCAAGGTCTGTGCTGAAAATGGTCCTCACAAATACATAAGTACAAGTACACAAACTAATACAGCACATTAATTATGACTATTTTTAAAAACATGATGAAATAAACGGATCAGCTCAGGGCGCAGAGCCACAGGGTCAGCGGGGGACGTGCGTAAAAGACGCGCCGCAACATTTGGACAGTAAGAAGCCATACACGCACGAATCTTCGCCTGTGTGGGCACAAATGCATGTGGGTAGTCCTTCATCCATCTATGGAGAGAGAGAGAGGGAGAGAGAGGGAGAGAGAGAGAGGGAGGGAGAGAGAGAGAGCATCGCAACACCCCCTCCTTCCGCCCCCTCCACTCACAGAAACGGAATTAAAAAAAATCTTTAATATCTTTCCAGCAACGAGCCTCCGTTGCTGCAGCGCAGAGCGCGCACACACTCACACATGCACACACACACATGCACACACATGCACACACAAACACACTGTGTCTTTGAAAACGTCGCCGGTGAGAAGGAGGAAAACTTGGCTGCAGAATTTAGGGAAGCGTCTTCACACTGATATAAAAACAGATAGAGAGAGGGGGGAGGCTATAACCTGGACGTCTTGAATGTGGCCTGTGGAACCGCTGCTGACATCGTGACAACACCAGCTCTGTGTGTCTGTGGAGCTGTGCAAGTCCTGATTGTGTAATATCTTTTTTTCCTCTCGTCTTCCCGCAAAGCGAACAAACCTGCAGCCGAGAGCGCACGGATAGAAAGGAGCAGGAGAAGAAGAAGAAGAAGAGGAGGAGGAGGAAGAGGAGGAGGAGGAGAGGAAAACGGGAGGATTGCAACGTTCACCAGAATTTATTTTGTGTCCTATTACATGGCGCAAGGGCTAAACAAACGGGACCGTCCTGGGTGTGAAACTGCCACGGTGAATTTGGATATTCAAGCATCAGCAGCAGCAGCAGCATCCTCCTCCATCCACGGAGGAAGAGGGAGACGCATCCTCGGCTGCGGCGTCGCACACACCGACTCCTCGTCCCTCTCCTGCCGGCTTTATGTCGAGTGATGGTCGGCTTGCCTTGCTGGATGCTCCCCGCTCTTTCCAGATCGTCGACGACCGAACCTCCTCTGACCGCAGACCCCCATTTTCGGCGGAAACCTACCCAGAGCGATAGGGCTACATATGGAAACTGGGGACCAAAATTTTAGGAAAAAGGAAAATCTAAGCGGTTGATTTCATTTATTATTAGAATAATTCTTTTCAGGTTTCTCTTGTTTCTGTGTGAGCTCATTTCTTTTAAAGCCTGCTGATTAATGAGTCTATTGGTTGAGCCGATATTTCCTCATGCCATTGGGTTGATTTGTGAGCAGCCAGCCGAATATCGTCCTCACAGTAGGTCGTTATAAAACCGCTTTTATTTCGTCTCGTCAGGACTCGGATCCGTCCATTTGTTTATGTTCCCTCTAATATGAGGTTTCCCTGCTGTCCTTCGTTTCCCTTCCCAGTTTATTATCACCTCTCTGCTTTTCCTCTATTTTGACTAAAGTAAAACATTAGAAATATAACATTAATAGCTAATAAGAGTCTTTAGGATGACACATCTCTAATTCTTATTTCTTACTGGCCTCTAACTTAAGTAACTGTAACTCATTGTAAGAGACATATTGAACTGTTGTACTGTAAGCCTGCCATTACTCTAACAACATCTCTTTGGTCCATTAGATCTCATGTTAATTCAGCTGTAACCTCAACAAGTCAAGAAACAGGTTGTTTTTGTTGTGTTTTCCCCACTTTGGCTAATCTCACCTGCACCGCCTCAGACATCTTTAATCCTGCACAGCTCATGTTTGCAGAGTGGCTGTTGTGTGGGTTGAATCTGCAGCTGCAGGCCTGCTGAGGTGCTGCCTGATCTCTCATCTTTATTTGTGAGGGTCTTAAAGTAAGAACAAACAGAGAGGAGAGACACAACTGCGTCTTCCTCTCTTCCCTCCCCTCTTAACAAAAAACCCAGAATCTTTTTCTCTTGTTTTGGTCCTCACCCAAACGCAACCATAAGGTTCCTACCGCATCCTCCTCCTCCTTCTTCCCTCTCCTTCCGCTCGAGTATATCCCGTTTTTTCGGTTTGGTGTGGTCCCGCAAATTTTCAAATATTTACTTCCTGTACATCAAGAGGAAAGGGGGTCCCCCTTTCATGGAATGCGGAAACATGGGTCTGTTCGACCGCGGAGTCCAGATGCTGCTGACCACGGTGGGAGCATTCGCGGCCTTCAGCCTCATGACCATCGCAGTCGGCACGGACTATTGGCTCTACTCCCGCGGTGTCTGCAGGTCCAAGTCCATGAGCGAGAACGAGACCAGCAAGAAGAACGAGGAGGTGATGACCCACTCTGGCCTGTGGAGAACGTGCTGCTTAGAAGGTAAGAGTAAAGACATTTCTCGCTTTTCCCAGACGTGTTCTTGTCTGTGGGTTCTGGCTGCCTTCACTTCCCTCTTCCATGACACTAGAAGTTCAAGGATGCTTCTCCACGTGAAATGCACAACATTAGTGGGACAGAAGCTGGAGTTTCAAGGCCTGAATGTTGACCAGCACTGATAGGAGCTTATTTCCAGAAACACAACCTTGATGGGTTGCAAGATAAATATGAAGCATCACCAGATCATTAGTATTATGTTGATCCAGCTATCTGATAGAGGGCCAGAAAAGATGACAAATTACCTTTTCAGTGACATGAAACAATCCTTTTGCATGGTTGTGCTTCTTCATATTGCTCAGAAGGTCGGGTGAGGCAGGTTGTATGTATGAGTCTGAGGAATACATGATTATCTTAATGGTGCAAGTGTAACCACAATGTTTATGTTCCAAATTCCCCCCAGTCTTTGCTTGTCTAATTAGACATATTGGTCAGTCTTAAGTCTAAAAAAACTAGATGAAACAGTCAGAGGCAGAAAAAAGTTTGCTGCTAATTGACTTTGCTGCTAAATGTTTGATAAATGAATGAATTCTAAACTTTACACTTGGGGTTTCTCCTGCAGGCCGGGTTAAACACCCCCCTCACTGTGCTGCAAGATTATTAGGAAAAGTAAGGAGGACCTATCCACATTCTGTTCCATATTTTCTCTAATCTATGTTGTTCTTCACATAAAACACAAAAGTTTTGCTTTGTCATATGTCTGATGAAATAATCTGGGAAAGAATATCCCTTGAAGTCTGCATGTTTGTTGTCATTGCTTCATTTTAAGGTGTAATAAGGCAGAATGAAATTTAGTCATAAAACGTAATGACTAAAACTCTGCTTTGAAATCCAGACTGATGCAGTTGTGTTCATGGCTTGAGCTCCAGCAGTGAATGTGAGGCAGGTTTCTGGAGTCAGACTGGGGCTGTTCCTCCCATACCCACTGTGCAACAGTTTCACCAGTCAGATATTAGAATCTAAATCATGAAATAATAACATATTCACATGCAGCAGTTAGGGTGGGACCTGCATCGTATATATCAACCTGATATACTGGCAAATCAATACTCTGGTCTCACCCTAATTAAGGGAAACTGCAGGGGAGCTGTCCCTTTAAAGAAGATGTGACTTTGGACCAGCAGGTTGCACAGGGTGTTTGTTTTCATCATGAAAAGTCATGGCAGCAGAGATGCAGCTGTTTCTGGGTTGACCCCCTCGACACCCTTGATGATGACAGGGCTGCTTGTCATGTAGCCTCTGACCTGTCGGTGTTTGGTGATCTCCGAGGTGTCAAACGGCCTCACCTCCAGAGTCCGCACCATCTGATGGAGGCGGTGTGTTTCCTGTCACGGCCCGGCGGAGGCACTGGGTGAGGCACTGTAACCTTGTGAGGGCGCAGAGCGTTGCAATTCTGCTCATCTCAGCTGTGAGATCCTGAAAGGCCACAGTGTCTGACTTCATGCTCCTATGATGAGCAGACACACTCAGTGCACCTTCTCTTCAAAGCTTAGTACCTGGTTTGAAGTAACACGTGTAATTTAATGCAGCTGTAATCAATACTTTTTAGAGTCACAACACAGCAAATGAAAGTGGGAAGACAATGTGAAACACATCACTTGTAGTGACGGACCTACAGACAACTCCAGTGGTAGTCAGAGAGCGTTTACCTCAGTCCCTCTATGAAACCACATTTAAGTAGATCCAGATATTTCTTTAGATCTCCACCAAATTGTACTTACTCATAAATATCAGTCCTCTAAATATACCAGATTTTTTTTTTTTTTATCAAGAGCCATGAATTATTCTCTAAGAAAAACGCCCAAGGAAAGATTAAAAAAAAATCCTGGATCTGCCCCCCGATCTGGATCTGCATCAAATCTGAATTTGTTCATCCCGGTCCCACACCACATCTACCAAGTCTCATGGTTATCTGTCCAGTAGGTTTTGCATTATTCTGCTAGCTAACTGATATATAAACAAACAAACAGCCGAATATATAAGCTCCTTCTGGGGAGGTAATTAGCTCCTGAATCTGCTGTGCACAACTTTATGGAGATTTATGGTGAGTTTCAGTTCAGTGTTTAGTCGCCTGCTCCATAACTCTACTGTTGTGATTCTTTCTCACCACTCTCATAGCATCATTTTGTGCAAACAAGTCCACGGTACACTATCAAACAGCAGCTATAGAGACAGACATTTCCTCCAAGAGATGGTTGAGACCAAAAACAGAGCTAAAACAGAGTAAATATTGCATTTGGATTCATCATGTGGTTACAAACATGACTCCAAATGAACGATCATGCTGCTCTGTAGCTGCTCGATAAAATAACTTTTAAAATAACAATTTTTTGCTATTAAGTCCATCATCAATATTATGTGATGACTTGTTTCAAGTGCTCTCAAGTGGCAAAACAGTCATTGAAACTCTGATTTGTTGTGTTTAAGTTACCTCAGAATGAGCCCTTCATCTACATCGGGAGCAGGTCCTCTTCCCTGGAGTTTGTCATGTTTCTACTGTAGCCCAGAATGGTCAAACCACACACTTGCTCAGGATTTTCATATCATCTGGTGAGACAAGTGGTATTTGGTTGCAACTGCACAGCTGGTTGTCACTTAATCTACATACTGAACCTCAGGTTCAGGCTCAAAAACTACTTGTTTGGGGAAAGTTCATGTTTTGGGTTAAAATTAATTTCAGGCGACCTTTGTTCAACATTGACTGTTGGACGGAAATAAGAGAAAAACGTTTTGGGGGCAGAGCCTGGTGTTTGGATAGAATTATAGATTCTACATTTCAGTTGTACCTAATTCAAACTCAATTGAGTTGTGCAGATTCCTGGTTTTGGTTATAGAATAGAAATATTGTATATACATTAATATAAATGTTGTTATCTACCACTGGCAGAATGCAAAACACAAAACAAGTTTGCTTTGGATCAAACTGCAACATGAATTTAGATAGGTTAACTCTTTCCATGTGGAGAAGAACTATTGATACGGAAATCCAAATATCCACTTGCAGCATCTACAGCTCAGCTGTTCCACAGAAGCTGCTCAGGTGTTGGCAGCAGAAAACCGTCTTCACTCCAGATGTGAGCGTGTTTGAAAGATCACAGTAAATATTCTGGGGATGTAACCCTGAGTGCTGACACAGCGTTCTGTCCCCGCAACGATTACATTAATGCACATAGGATTAATCACAGCTGGAGTAACGATGGACCAGGACGCCATCATTTAATTGGCAAACAAAACAACAAAGAGTCGAGATGAGTTTAAAACGTTGCACTCTGGGATTAGCGTGTGTGGCTTTGTGTCTACACAATGAGCCTCCTGCCTTGAAAGGATCAAAATGGCAGGAAATAAACCCACGATTGTCATTTGTGATTCATGAATGATCCCCGGCACAGAAAAAGCAGGGGAGTTGAAAAAAAGGAGGCCACTGCATTTCGTTACTGGGGTCAGGTTCATTTAAATTCTAATTCAGATGACTTCCTGTTCAGGAAATTGGGTTTTAAAAGCTAGTACATTTAATTATAGGTAGTTTGTACATTTTAGACCAAAAAATCAGGAGGAAATTGAAAAATGAAAAAGTAGAGAGCGGATGCAGCTGTGGGAGAGGCAGTGATAAGCAGCCTTGTTTCAGCACAGAGAGTCGGGAGGAGTGATATCAAGTTTTACATTTCAGATGTTAATTAGGCCTCAGTTTGCAGCTCAGCTCCATTAATTCAAAGTGCCAAGATGACTAGTATTCATCTCTCCCCCAGCTCGGCTCAAATGAAGCCTTCCTGGTGATCAGGCACCGACTGTGGCTGTGATCACTGCGTCCTATTCACAGCAGAGAGCGTAAACTGAGTGTTTGGCAGAACACACACACACACACACACACAGAGCTGGCAGAGTGGACACGGGTGGATTTGTGTTGGTGTAACCAGTTGCCTGGAGAGAGGAACCTGTGAGGAAGGAAGACCCACACTGGGTTCTCACACTCTGACCTCTTCTTCACTAATTATCTGGAGGTGATGTATGTGAGCGTGTGAATGATAGTGGGTACAGCAAGAAAATGTCTAGAAATGTCCGAGCAAGCGAGTGGACGTGCTGATGATGCATCTAATGTGACAGACATGAAACTGAAAGAATAGAAATATCTCAGGATGAAAAAAAAATAAAAAGAGGAGGAATAGAGGACACCAACACTGCTGTGAATGTGCTGTAAACAAAAATACAAGATCAGAACTAATCTCCTGCCTCCTTCATGCCTAGACACCCCCCCACTGAATGTCCCAGACATTTTCTTATTGTTGTAAATGCGTCTGAGCCGTAAAATTACCTGCTGCGTTTTTTTATATGTGAAAGACAAACCGGGAGATGTCTGTGTCCAACTTTGCAGACATTTTCCAGAGTTCATGTCTTTAAATGACTACAGAGAAAGCAGATTTAACTCTGTCCAGGTAAAGGAAAGGATGTGTATGAATCCTCTGATCATTTTAGATAATGTCACAATGGTTTGCTTGAAGCTTGAGAGGATTTTCCAGACAGTAGCTCTGACTATTTCAGTTCTCTGAGGGAAAATCTTCATCTATTTTCTGCGTGTTGATGTTGTTACTCTAGAAAGTTTTAAACTGTTCTAAATGTTCAGTAACTGTGGATCCACAAACACAGTGTGACCCTCCTGTTGAGATGTGAACCCTACACACGGCAAACATGTGCTGCTGATGAATTGGCCCCCGGAGGCCTCCGCTCTTAGCTAGGTGCACTGTGCTGAATTTCACGCTAACCTGAGGCGTCCATCTTCATTACAGCGCCACCCTCAGGCTCCTCCGCAGTTACAGGTGGACACAGTTGGAATCTGGGAGGGGAAATGTGATGAAGGAGGGCCAATGCTGTGTCTGATGCTTTGTCTTTTAGTACCTGTTGGTTGAAGAAACGTGTCTGTTCAGGTTCAGTATTCGACCACTGAGCTTTAA